GCGCGCGTTGTGATTGGTTGTCTAAACATAGATTATCGGGACATCTGATGGTGTCGATATTATTGGGGAGATGGACACTTCTGGTTATGTACTTCTGCACAAACACATAACAAGAGCGATCGCCATCTTTGTTTTGCTTGATGCAAATTTCGTGACAACTTCCGGTTTTGGCGTGCGCAGAAAGCGTGCGCARTAGCAATGCCCTCGAACGTCCTTAAATCAAACATTTTAATTTATTTCGATTTCCAGATATTTTTCATGGTATTTAGYCCTTAACATCTATGTGAATAAAGAATCTCACCCTAACTGCTAAMATTAGTTCATTTGCTATTTGCAGGTCGGCCGTTGTTCTTTGTTAATGATTGTAAGTCTTTTGACTTAAGTCAGATTGGTGTTCACTGCACCCTCATGGAAGTACATTTTTTACCGGTCTTTTGACAAATCTAGGTGATAAAGGTTTAAACGAATACTTCGACTTTTCTGTGCCTCTACTTGGACTTTCGAGTTCAAGAGGTGAAGGCGAACACGAGAAGTACCCTTCCTCAGAATCATTTGACTTCCGTGATATATTCAATGGGGGCAACAACGCAGCACGTTTCTCCTTTGGGCTTCTTGTGTTAGTGTTGACTAATTCCGGTAGATTGGAGAAACTGTTTGACCTAAATTGGTTTTGATTTCCGTTTTCCCTCTCGAGAATTTCCGGTGATGCGAATCGAGARAGACGTGAGCTTTTAAGCAGAAGCTCGTGTTTTGCAAGTTCGGTACTTRTAGGAAAGTGAGAGAGCGTTGRTGAATGAAGCGTCAGGTCTGGCAAGTCCCCTGCCAGGGTATACTGAGAACTGAMACAACGGTGTTCTGATGATGTGATATCATCGCAACGTGTAGATAAAACATCTCTCTTTACAGACGTCGGAGTCATTGGAGATGATGCACTTCTCTCGCGATAACTTGCGTATGCTTGCGAGCTGACAGTATTTGAATCCCTTGTAAACAATGAGCTGCATCCCACGCCAAGACGGTTGTCACTTCTTGTAATGATAGCCTCTCCTCGCTTGCTTTGACACATGCTGTCGGATAAAGTTCTCCTCACGGAAGTTTTCTCCATTGACTTTACTGCCAACTTTTTTCCTTTGAACTCCTTGCTACCTTCACGTTCATCTGGCTGGAAAATTATCGGTAAATTGAGTGGTTTACATAAATCGACTTTAAAAGATTCACTCGTTTTGATGTTTGAGGCACTGGGAGGTCTGTGCTTCGTTTTTTCAAAATTCAAGTTTATCAGATCCCCTTCTGGTGGTCTTATTTTCTTATTTATCTTGGTTTCGGGTGACACATCGTTTGAGAGGAGTGCCGAACTTTCCATAGTACTTACAGTAATTCTTCTCGTAGCAGCATTATCACTACAGGTCGTCGCGATCGTGGTGCTGTCGATGTCAATGACGTCGCCTCTACGTCCGGAGAATGATTCAAGTGTTTTTCGACGCATAGCTGAAGGTGATGGGGTTTTCTTACCAAGGGAAAATGATGAAGATTGCAAATTCTCTTCATTTGAGTTTTCAGTTTTGTKTTTTCCCACGACTTTAATTTCCTGACCGAGATCAGCATCAGCATTGATTAMTGTTACTTCCAACAAGTTTAGCCTATCATGAAAATTTTGTTGGTTGCATTTTGCGCCTTCAAGCGACACTTCCAACTTCTCCTTTTTGTACGATGTTTCTTTGGGTTTTTCCGCCTTCCAGGCCATATCTAGTTTCATAGCTGAGGTCTGGGCATTCAGTGAGTCATTTGATTCCAAAGACGAAGTTACCGAGTCCCGAAGTTTTATCAATCTCTCCAAACTTGATAAATGAACTGAGGAAATATCGAACGATGAGTTATCAGAATCCGAAAAATGAAGACTGATTTTTTCATCTTCGGACGACGAGCGCCCAACAGAAGATAATGAGCCYTTACGTAAAGATCTATGGAAAGTTTCGGTATAATTTTCTTCATTTCTTTTTTTCTGCGGACCAATATCTAGCGGATCATAATGACAAATCGATTTTTTGCGCCTTCTCTGACGTGTGGGGATTTTACTTTCGTCATTCTCTTCTACAACTAAGAGGTCTGATTGCTGTGAGACTTTTTTCTCTTTGTGTACGGTATTCCTCGGTCCCATTAGCGGCCATGAGCATTTTCTTGTTTCGGGAAGCTGTTCGAGTTTTTCCTCAAGTTGCTTCATCTCCATATTGAAGCTYCCAGGCTTGGATAAAATCTTGCCTTCACGACAAGCCTCTATCATTACTTTGACAGTTTCTATATTTCCCGCGGTGATAGCATAGTCAAACGCGGTATTTTTACTATCATCTTTGACCCAAGGGTTCGCTTTGGCATTTACTAACACACGAATAAGTCTGTCCGAAGAGTTAGTCAAGCATGCATAGATTAGCGCGGTTTTCCCATTTAGGTCTTGGAGGTTCATTTTGACGCGATGTCTTATTAAGAATTCGACRACTTTTWMTTTCTCSGCGCTTTCTGACTTACAAGCGAGSATTAAAGGTGTMGCGTTAGTGTCATTTCGTACATTGACATCAGTTCCTCCATCGACAAGAAGACGCACTAGACGAAATTTACAGTCGCTGCAGGCTTTTAGCAGAGCCTCCGGTCCCACTGAATCCACTTGAGCCATTTTCAATTCTTTAAGTAAATTTTAGCTTTGCATTATCATGTCTGTCTTTTAAACGCAATGATCTAGAGGAAAATGGCAATTACAGACTTAAAACACGAGTATCTTTAGAGATGATGCAATGCTATAAGTTACAAATTATAGCACGTTGCACATAAACATTCAAAAAATAGCCTTTTCATGCCGTTTGCTCAAGTCGCTTTCCAGCAATTTTAAAATTTAGTCAAACCTATTTATACATTTCTTCATTTTAGCTTTGCATTATCATGTCTGTCTTTTTATACATTTCTTCATATGTACATCTTGTAACAGGTGTTTCATTTGGTGATGGCTGAAAGCCGAATGTATTTATCCGCGGTGATTYTTTTCTCATGCTGTTCAGTACGACCAAATTAATGCATGGACGATATTTTATAGAAACTCAAGACACTGGATTCCCAAGAAAAATTTTACTTGTAAATTTTGAAGCACATATTTGAATAAATTCGTCCATCTGTCGTCAAWTTTTTTAATTTGCTGTCAAAACCATTGCGGCTAAGTGAGTTGACAAACTTGAGAAAAAGAGAAAATCTGCAAGTGAAGCATTGAATTTTTCTAATTTACATTTCAGATAGAAATGYATAAAAATGATAAAAAAGGAAAAAGCTGTCTGTAATTAAGTAGTTATCGATCTTGCTTTTAAAAAATTACCAACCTAGAGTGACAATTATCTTCAATCTACCAAACCGTTAGTTGGTGTGTTTACAGAGCAACCAAGAATAGCATCATCAGCTGTCGCCTCAATTTATTTTCCCGCTTTAAGTTTTATGTATATACATAAAACTATATATTCATAATATACAATCTAGCTAGTCTCCTGAATAGTGATTTTAAAGCATTGAAACGAGAAGGACAAAATTATGCCGTCTAGAGATACGAAAAGAGTATTTAAAGTTCAGTTTTGTATTATTTAGTTGTCTTAGCTGCATGAAAACGACATGAAATGTATTGTCTTCATTGTGCTAGCTKGATGAAACAGTTCGTACACTGTAATTTGAATCTTCATCAGTTCGAAGATTTTAAACTTTAAAATGTAGCACCTTACCTCGAGAAGTAGCTTACTAGAATGAAAGTATACAGGAATATGTATCAGTGTCTTTTGCCTCTGTATCGACAATCTCGAGTATAATTCTGCTGATGGGCATGTGTTCTGACGTCATCTCTCCAACGATTGGATAATGCAGCTCATTTAAGCTGTCTTTGAGCGTATCTAAGTAATTAAAGGGCCATGGTCAATCAGCATTCAATGCGGTCTTGTTTTAGAGATTTTTTATACATTGAACAAGAGGCGAGGTATATAACATTTGTATATGAGTAAGTAAATGGTTGAAATAATGTATGCTTTTTCCCGCCAATTTGAATTTTCTTAAATAAAGAAGCGAAGCAGCCTCCTTGTGAATTTTCACCATAAATATTCTATAAAAAGTGTGTAAAAACTGAGCGTGAATAACTAAAATTGAGGCTTTTTTGCGAAGTCTTTGGGATTTTATCGATCATATYGTTGAGTGTGTGCAGTAAATATGTCTTKGATATCGCCTCAAAACGCTGGAAATGACATTTTCGACCCCCAAAACAAATTCCCGCTCTGCGACWGCGGTCACTGTTTTTGAGAAGATCTAAATCACAGAAAAAAGCGGCCAAAATCCATCAAATGAACTTCAAAACATCTATCGATCTATGCTGCGATACAAGAATGTACAAGAGAATTTGCTATAGATCTGAATCATGCAATATGATGAAAAGGTTTGGATTGATAAGGTACATTGATATTTTTAAACATGATAAGGGATACCGGTTTTTAGCCTTTTGATCCGGATCATCAGCAAAAAAATGCTTCAACAGGTTCTGGTACTGTTTGCTTGTGCCAACGAAATGCACAAAACTGAACATACCTCCCTTTTTAACGACGTAATGTCTGACATTGATCTTAAACCTCTTCATCCAAAAAACAAGATAATCCTCTACAATCGCTTTGTTATGTCTAAAGTATCATGGCATTTTACTGTTGCTGATTTGTGTAAGACTTGGGTTGTTGAAAACCTTGATCCAGTAGT